TTCTTAGTGAAATGCTCCGTGGAGGCTGTGTATTTTCCAGGCCAGAGTCAAGCAGGCGAACCAAAAAGGATCCAAAAAAAAAAAAAAAGTTCCTGGCCCGTAGGGGTGGGGTGCTTTAAGACCCAATCTCCCTCTCCTCACCTCACCAGTCCCCATCTCTTCAGAAGCCTGACTCCCTTTCCCCACCTTCCAAAAAGGACTGGGAATCAGCAAGCACCAAGAACCTGGAGCAGGCCTCCAAACCATCCCTGGGGATTGCAGTGTGTACCCCAGTGCCCCATGCTGGTCCCAGGCACCAGATCCCAGACACAGAGGGTATGTCGGGGTGGAGGTTGGGGTGGGGAATGGCAATGCTGGGCCACCTCACCCCTTTTCTGCTCCTCAGGCTGCTTGTCTAGGGTAGTGCTGTAAAGAAAGGTCATGATTTTAGGACAAGGCATAGCTGTGGCCACAAAGTGGCGAAAGATGCTAGTAAAACCGGTTTTTCTGTGATTGTCCGGCAGCGGAACAGCAGAGCGTGAGCAGGGATTTGATAGCTTCTGGCCAAAATCAAATCTATGGTGCCACTTATAAAATCACCATCCGCTAGGTCAATATCCCATATGGATGCCAGCTCGAATCTTGTTGCTCCACTCCAGAACCCGTCACTGATAATGGCTTGGGAAGGTGGAGAATGACCACTTGGGCACCCGTATGGGAGACCCCATGGAAGCTTCGGACCCCAAACTAGCTTTTGTAGCCAATCGGGAGGGTGAACCAGCGGATGGACGATCTCTCTGTAACTCTCTTCACAAAATCCTTTAAAAAAAAAAACTCAATCTGAGGGAAGGCCAAGCAGAGCGCAGTCTCGCAGAGAGCGAGGGTAAAGTGACTGAACTATGGCGGTGTGTGTGTATGTGGGAGGGGGGGTCTTCGTGCTGAGAGTGAGGGAGGGTCTGAGCCTTTTCTAAGTGATTGAGGGATGGGGTAGAGTGAGGAGCTAGCCCCTGCACCCCACATCCCACTGAGGGAGAAAGAGCCTCGCACCCTCACCCCTCTTAGCTCCTGAGCACTGTGTCCATCCCCAACGGTCTCCGCCCCACCCCCACTCCCGCGCCCCTTCTCCTGCTGCCCCATATTCCCTTCCCCCCCATCTCCCACCAGTCCATCCCCCAGGGACCCCCATTCCTATCTATCCCGCACCCCATCACCTCCCGCTCGGTGGGTGTGACCGTGAGTTAGCACCCTCGTCCCCTTCCCCAACTCCCTGGTAAACAACACCCCCCCACCCCCGGGCTCCGCCCCCTCGCCCCCCCTCACCCCGCCTCCATCCCCAGATCTCGTGAGATTTGGTCCTGGACGTCAGGAGAAGCCGCGCGCTGATTGGTGGGATCTGGCGGGGCGTTCTCGCTCCTCGGTGCCTGTGGGCCGGCGTCGTCTGGTTCTATCCAGCGTCGTCTGGTTCTTGCCCGGGGGTTGCCTGGCGAGGCTCGCGCTGTGGCGAGGCGTCGGGTTCGCGCTCTCTCCCCGTCCACCTCATCCGCCCTCGACTTTCTCCTCAGGTAAGTGGGGGTAGTCCTTCCAGAAGCTGCAGCTGTCTTCCTGCCCCGCCAGGCCTCGCGGAGCCCCATTTTGTCTCTGAGATGGAGGCTGGAAGGGACGGACGCCCAGAAGTCGCGGCTTCGGCTACCCGCGCGGTGTCGGTGGCGGAAGTTGGAGGGGCGTGAGAGGTGTCACCGAGAAGCGAACCCAGAAGCTTCTCCTGGGGCGCTGAGGGAGCGTTGGAAAGGGAGTCGGTCTCGGCACGGAGCCCCTCTCCGGGTGCTGGGAGGTCCAGGCGGGTGGCGAGCATCCTCGGGACGAGCGAATGGAGTGGGGTGGGCGGTCAAGAATATGGCAGCGGACCCGGTGGCTGGTTCCCTTAAGGACCGGGTCACTCGGGGAGGAAGCTAAGGGGCTTGTCGTTCAGCTCGTTCTTCCACTGAGGAGAAAATCTTGGGGCGGTTCCGGTTGGGAGGTTAAAAAGGGCGAGTTCCCCACCGAAAGGGACCAGATCCAGTGTCCAGCCCGATCCAGTGTCCAGGTTTTTCTTGGGGGTTCTGGGTTCGTGAACACGCGTGTTAAAACCCAGTCTCCTTGTTCTTGGAGCATTTTAGTAAATACCCAGCTTTACGTGGCGGCAGGTGATCGAATCCACAGGGCCTCTGGAAACGGACGGACTGGTGGACCCCAGGACAGGCTCAGACTGCTCAGAAGACCTTATCAGGTAAGACGCGTATCCTCTGGACTATCCTAGGGTGCCCGCAAAAGTCCTGGTTGCCTTTGACCCTGAAGAGCAAGTAAGCAAAAAGTTGAGAACCAAATAATAAAAGCATATCCCTTGGGATTAGCGGGTGTGCCTGGGGTTGACCTTATCTTTAGACAGGTCCTGATTGGTTAGGAAAAAGTAATCAATCCCTTGTGTAGATCTAGATAGCATTGTGTCTGAGATAAAATGACCTCCTGCTGAGTAACTGGAGGGTGTTTTCAAGATTTTTTAGGGCCCGGCTTGGTAGCCTAGTGGCTAAAGTCCTTGCCTTGCACAAGCGCCAGGATCCCATATGGGCACCGGTTCTAATCCCAGCAGCACCGCTGCCCATTGGGCTCCCTGCTTGTGGCCTGGGAAAGCAGTGGAGGACGGCCCAAAGCCTTGGGATCCTGCATCTATGTGGGAGACCTGGAGGAGGTTTCTGGCTCCTGGCTTTGGATCGGCGCAGCTGCAGCCATGGGGCCACTTGCCGAGTGAACCAACAGTTGGAAAATCTTTCTTTCTGTATATCTGCCTTTCCAAAAAAAAAAAGAGAAGAAAAGATTTTTTTTTTTTAAGTCAAAAAATTTTTTGGGGGAAAAGGCAATTTTGCACAGAAAAAGAGGCAGAGAAAAAACCTTCCATCTGCTTTTTCACTCCCCAAGTGACCGCAATGATCAAACCTACCAATTTGACCCCCCCTTCACAAATGTGTTGAATTTGAAATCGAAAACCTATAATTCCCTGTGGTGTAATCAGATTTCAGTCTTTCATTGGCTATGTGGAGTTCCTGGGGAAGGGATACTCGGAAAGGTCTTAGAAGAGCTGCTGAGAAGCAGATGAAAGGCGCAGAGGCCTAGCGCTCTGGAGTTGATGCTGCGAGCCTTCCCGAGCCGTGGGCAGAGGGCGCTGAGCCCGGTGAGTAGGAAGCCCGAGGCCTCCCGCCTCCAAGCCAAGGTCTGCTCGGGACATATTGGCTAACGCTGCACACCTCAGGAATTTCTCCTCTTCTTGCCTTTATGATGAGTTTTGCTTTTGACTCTAGAACAAAATATTTTATTTCTGTATATTTCCTAGCTCTGCCCTCTCCTGGCCCCACCCCCTTCCTGCCTTGCCCCGCTTTTGCCCTGCCATTTACCCCACCCCCTGACCTGTCTAGTACCGCCCATACCCTGCCTGGCCCCGCCCCTACATGGCCCCACCCCCTGCCCCGCATTAAGGTTAGATTTAGGGTTTGGGTTAAAGTTAGTGTTAAGGTTAGGGCTTGGTGTATGAGTAGGGTTAAAGTTGGTATTTTTGTTAGGATTAGAGTTGGCATCAGTCAGATTAGTAGGGTTAAATCTAGGGATAAAGTTAGAATTAGGGCAAGGTTTATGGCTATAGTTAGTGCTATGTTTACGGTTCGACGTATGGGTTATGGTAAGTGCTGTCATTATGGTTAGGGATAGTCTTAGTGTCGTTGTTGAAATTGTGCTTGTGCCTTATTAGGAAGCTGAAATTGGAAGCAGAACCAGCATCTAAACCTGGGCCTTGTGTCCCAAGTGACAGTTGAACTGCTATCCATATGCATGCCTCCAAACATATGAATGCCTTAAATCAGGGTTTTGAACCATTTAGGTATTTATGACATCATTTGTGAGCCATACAAAATTACCAACTGAAAATTAGCCTCCTATAAATATATTAAATTTCAAGTCCCACCTGTGATTGGCTTGCCAGAGGCAGATCAAATGATGTCCTAGGCCACAAATTTCTTACCCAGTTAAACAGATATTGCTTGTTTGTTTTTCAAATCTGTTCATGTATTTTAAAAGTCAGCATGGCAGAGGGAGAGATCTTCCTTCTGCTGGTTCACTCGCCAGATGGCTATAATAGCCAGTGCAGGGCCAGGCCAAAGCCAAGAGCTTCATTTGGGTCTCCAGGGGTTCAAGCACTTGGGCATTTTCTGCTGATTTTCCTAGACACATTAACAGAAAGCTGGAGCAAAAATAGAGCAGCTGGGATTCCCAAACTAGTGCCCATATGGAATTCTGGTGTCCCAGGTGGCAGCTTTACCGGTTATGCCGCCACAATGATGAATCCAACAGACAGTGATTTTTAGAAATGAGAAAAGACATAAAATTAATTGGGAATTTAATTAATGACATTTTAGGTACTTCATATGTGACTACATGCATGGTTTTGTGACTTTACTAGTTATCTCTTCCCCAATCCACCCTCCTCAAAAACATTCAAAAATATTCCATGGAATATTTAAGAGGAAATTTTTTTCACAAAATACATGTATTCCTTATCTTTCCCATGTGATTTGTTTGTTAGATCTGTGATTTGTTCGCCAGACTGTGTGATGCTTCCCTTCCATTGTCCTTGAGTGATAAGTCATTTTACCCCAAAAGTATACGGTTATTCTCCAGGCTTCTTTTTGCCCATCTGAGGGGAAGGAGTGGAAGTGGGAGATATAAGTAAGTGAAACTGGGTGGATTTGGGATGAGGCCAGTGGTCACCTTGCCCTCTCCTCGGCAATTTTCCAAACGCTCATCCTGCTGTTGACACAAGCAGAATTGGGACTTGGTGGCCATCAGGGTGCATTGAGGACCCTCCCCCTGCTGTTGCCAGAGCAATGACTGTGCCTCTGAGTTGTTCCCTCTGAAGGGTGGGGAGTTGGTACTGCCTGTGTTTGGTCCAAGAAGAATGCCCATTTGTTTCCCATGTGTCTCTGCAGGATCCCTTTCAAAACCAGTTGATCAGGATGAGTATCTTGGCCCCACCAACGCTCCTGGAGCTGGCAGGGAAGAACCTGCTGAAGAATGAGTCCTTGGCCATCGCCGCTCTGGAGGAGCTGCCCAAGGAGCTCTTCCCACCACTCTTCTTGGCAGCCTTTAATGAGAAGTCTAGAAATACTTTGAAGGCGATGGTGCATGCCTGGCCCTTTGCCTGCCTCCCCCTGGGGGCTTTGATGAAGGGACAAGAAATACAGAAGGAGACCTTTCAAGCTGTGCTTGATGGGATCGATGCCCTGCTCGTCCAGGAGATTTGCTCCAGGTGAGGGGGGGGGGTCTAGTAGCAAGCAGGACCTTGGGAGATGGAGCAAGATCAGAGTGAGAGTCAAGGAGCATAGAGAACCACAATTGTGCCAAGGGCTGTTAGAGGAAGGGGCTTCTGGGTGTGGAGAACTGGATTAGGCTTCTGCACCTGCTCCCTCCTGGTGGACGAGGAAAGGATTCTGTGGTGGGAGCAGATAATCCAGGAGGATTCAGAGTTGAAGAAGGAGCGTCCCAGTGGGGAAGAGAGCAGTTGCTGGCTGGGATATGGAATGAAAGAACATTCCATAACTCGCCCTTGGGTTCTGAGTTAGTTATTCATTCCTCCGCCACAGGAAATGCAAACTGCAAGTTCTGGATTTGCGCAGAAATGCTCATCAGGACTTCTGGAGCGTATGGTCCAAAGCTGAGTATGATGCAGGCCAGCCTCCAAAGAAGAAGCAGAAAGTGGGTGATGACACCTGGTTAGGCATGAAGCAGACCGTGGCTCCCATGGAGGTACTTGTAGACCTGTGCCTCAAAGAAGACACCTTTGATGAAGTGCTGGACTGCCTCCTTGAGAAAGTCAAGAAGAAGAAAGGGTTGCTGCGCCTGTTGTGTAGAAAGCTGAAGATTTTTGCGATGCCTTTGCATGATATTAAGGTGATTCTGAAGATGGTGCAACTAGAATCTATCCAGGATGTAGAGGTGAATTGCACCTGGAAGTTGTCCACACTGGGGAAGTTTGCTCCTCTCGTGGGGCACATGTTTAATCTGCGACGCCTCCTCATCTCTCACATCCACTTACTTCCCTGTGCATCTCCTGAGCAGGAAGAGGAGTGGGTTGGCCGGTTCGCCTCTCAGTTCCTCACTCTGCACCATCTTCAGGAGCTCTACCTTGACTCTATCTCTTTCTTGAAAGGCCGCCTGAATCAGCTGCTGAGGTGAGGAATGCAGACCAGGGTAAGCCCTTCTTTGTCTTGGCGGACAGTACCAGGCACCTCTTGTGTGCTAGCTGCTGACAGTGTGAGAGAGGGAAGTCTCTAAAGTCAGCACAGCATCTTGTCCACTGTGGTATACCCCCAAGCCTGCTGCCATATGGCTACCCAGATAAAGGGTGGAGGTCAGTAACACAGCATCCATTGGGTGAGTTACAGAGACTCGAGGTTGGTTCTGCCTCACAGTTCTAGTCCAAAGTTTAGCCACATCCAGTAATGACTTTCTTGCTGGCAGAGCTCCAGAGCACTCCAGAGAGTGCTTGCCAAAGAGACAAGGTGCATGTGTGCGATACCCAGTGAGAGTGGCTCTGGAGAAAATCTATTAATCTGTCTATGAGGCAGACCCAGTTACCATTTGATATATCACAATGGGGATTAAATTGGAGCATGAATTTCAAAGGCAATGAGCCACCTCTAGAGGTGTGAACTAGTGGAATTGCTACCAACAGTTAACCCCTTGATAACAGATTATATAATGGGGCTTTAGGGACTGGCAGGGGCTGACTCTGAGCTTTTGCCTTAGGTAGTGATGCCCGAGTTATTACTTCTAAAAGTAGCAACATGAGGGCATTGTAAAAGAGAAACTCCCTCCCCTTTAACGTGAGGTTTTAGATAGTAAGCTGAACACTCACCTGTTTTCTCAGTGTGGGCCCCTCTCTCTCAAACCTGTGTCATCCTTCCTGGGGAGCATTTGAGATTCATTTTTCCCCCAATCCCATCACGCCACAAGTAAATTAGGCAGAAAGGACTGCTAAACGTGGCCTCACTTAAGCGCCCTTTCACAGCACAGCTTCCTGGGGTTGACTCTCATTAGGAAGACTTTGGGTTCTGAACTCTCTCCCACTTAAACCCCTTGCAAACACAGTCCCATTCCCTGGCACTCACTGCTTTCTATTTGGCTGCAGGTGCCTATCAAGCCCACTGGAGACCTTGTCCATCACCAACTGCCTGCTTACGGAATTAGACCTGGAGCATATGTCCCTGTGCACCAACCTCCGTAAGCTCAAAGATCTGGGTCTCAGCAGCATCACCTTGACCAAAGAGTGCGTGAAGTCCCTGGGAGTCCTACTCGAGCACACCTGTGTCAGCCTCCAGGATTTGGATTTAGATGATTGTGGAATCACCGATCCCGAGTTCAATATCATTCTGCCTGCTCTGAGCCGCTGCACCCAGCTCACAACCTTTAGTTTCTGTGGTAACCGCATCTCCATGGTCGTGCTGGAGAAGCTCCTGGAGCACACCATTGGGCTGAGTCATCTCAGCCATGTGCTGTATCCTGCTCCGCTGGAGAGCTACGAGGATGAGCAAGGCACCCTCAACCTGGGCAAGCTTGTCCACCTGCATGCCAAGCTGAAGCAGCTGCTTCAAAAGTTTGGGCGGCCCGGCATGCTCTGGTTCAGTGCCAACCCCTGTCCTCATTGTGGGGACAGGACCTTCTATGATCCAGAGCCCATCCTGTGCCCCTGTTACAGGTCAACCTAATGGCGTATGCACCCACTGCCTCATTCTGGGCAGGTGCACATCAAAGCTCAGGATGTAAGGATCTTTGAAGGGAATGCACCACAGTTTCAGACCCTAGTTAAGTCTGATCTGGAAAAAGCAAAAAGATGAGGGGAGGTAGAGGGAGCAATTGTTTACTTGCATTTTGGGGGGGGGGTTAGAGAGATTCATCTTATTGATTTAGAAACGTGAATATGCATTTCTAGATGAAAATTTGGACTTGAAATTACATGTGGAAATTCTCTCTGTATGAACGTTTATGAAGAAATGGTCAGAAATAAAAAGCTTTATGTGAACCTTCATGTGTCCCATCTGAGATGTTGGCCTGCCTCCTCGGTTTGGACTGGGAATGTTTGGGTGCTGACTCAAGCGGAAGGCACCAAGCATCCAGGATGCTTCCGCGTGCTGAGTGAGCAAGTCACAACCAAGGTCCAATTGGCTTTTCGCTGGGTACCTGTTACCTCCTGTGCACTTTTGTTACTGTTCATTGGATCTGTGCATGCAAAGTGCATCCCCAGAGGCTGGAACATGCTAGCTGCCGGCCAGTCATGAGTGCTTATGAAGCAAAGCATTCTTCACAGGGGCCCTCACTGCCAAACCTGCTGATACACTGGGCCCACTCCTCTCCAGGGGACCTACATACCTCTGTATCTGGGCCTTTGCACCAGTGTAGGGCTTGCACAAGTCAGACCCCTGGCTCTGGAAGGCAGGACATCCATCCTGTAGAAGGGCTGGAGTCCCTAGGTCTCCCTCACTCCCAACCCATCCAGCCCCATCCAGTTGTGCCCTGTTATAGACATCTATGCTCCTTGTGGCGGAATGTTGACCTCATTGGTTATTATTATTTCACAGTTTTGTGGGTATAGAACTTCCTCACTTTGCCTGCTTCCCTCCCCCTCTCTTCTCTCCCCCTCGTCCCCTGTGTTTTACAGTAATATATTCCTCCAGCTGTAGTCTTGACTCCAGGGTTCTGCTCTTTATGTATGTCATGACTTTGCAATAAGCAATGTTAGGGGGCCCGGCGCAGTGGCGCAGTGGTTAAGGTCCTCGCCTTGCATGCCCGGGATCCTATATGGGCGCCGGTTCTAGCCCAGCAGCCCCTCTTCCCTTCCAGCTCCCTGCCTGTGGCCTGGGAAAGCAGCAGAGGACGGCCCAAAGCCTTGGGACCCTGCACCCACGTGGGAGACCCGGAAGAGGCTCCTGGCTTCGGATCGGCATAGCATCGGCCATTACGCTTACTTGGGGAGTGAATCATCGGACGGGAAATCTTCCTCTCTGTCTCTCCTCTCTGTATATCCGCCTTTCCAATAAAAAAATAATAAAAATAAATCTTAAAAAAAATAAGCAATGTTAGGGATTCTAGTATTGTGTTGTCTAAGTACATTTAACAGCTTTATTGGGGGCTTATTTTTATTCAGAAGGAGAGATGCATTCTACAGATTTTCTTTGATTCTTGGTACTCTGGTCTCCATTACATCCTTCATTTGGGATCCTTAGTTTTAAAGATTTATTTACTTAGAACAGCTACAGAGAAGGGAAAGAGAGAGACACGCACACTCGCTGTAAGACTGCCACAACTGGGCTAAAGCCAGGAGCCTAGGACTCCCTCTCGATCGCCCATGTGGAGGCAGGGACCCAAAGACTTTCCCAGGCACAGGAGGGAGCCGGATTGGAAGTGGAACAGCTAGGATTCAAATGGGTGGCAATATGGGATACATGGATTGCAGGCAGTGATTTAACCAGCTATACCATAATCTTGCTCCACCTCATACTTAGTATTTGCACCCCACACTGAAAACAGCATCTGTCATAGTTCTATGGGTGAGAGAATGAGTTTCTCATAAAATCTCGCTGGGTTTTGGAGTGAATAAAACCCCTTCTGGGTCCCAGGGAGGATGTAGGTGGAAGCAGGTGAGTGCAGGGCTTGGTGATTGGCATTGGGAGTGGGGCACGATGCGGGGCAGTGTATCTAACAGAAAAGAAGTTGTGATCCTGTGGGGTGGGAGCTCCTGACTACTGGGCAGTTGGCCTGACTCCAGGAAAAAGGACTGCCTGCCTGCTACGTTTTCTCCATGCCACTGAATCCTGTCCCAAGGCTGCTTCACTTCCCCCACTGCACAGCCTTGCTGAAAGGGCCATACACCCAGACCAGGGACAGGGCCCATTCCACAGCATTGCCCCAGGTATGAGCAAATCCGGTTCTGCTTGTTCTTTTAGAGCCTCTCACTGGAGGCTTGGCCACTGTTGTACATGTTGGCTGTCAGCAGCTTCCTGTGTGTACACACTGCAGCTAGACCCTTCTTTAGCCTCTTCCCATCACATTTCTCCTCTCCTGTTCCCCTTGCTAGCTGGCTGGCTTAAGTCCCAACAAGGACTTAATGCCCAATTCCTATATTGGTGTGCTGGCTCAAATCCTGGCTCACCATTTCAGATGCAGCTTCTTGTTAATGTACCCGGGAAAGTAGTGAAGGAATGAGTGACCAAATGTTAAGGCCATAGATGGAGTATCAGGCTCCTGACTTCAACCTGGGCCACACTTAGTTATTGCACCCATTTGAGGAGGAAACCAATAAATGAAAAATCTCTCCACCTCCCAAATGAGTTATGAGTAGGGCTGGGAGGGGGTACTCAGCAAGAGAGGCCTTCCATCTACTGGTCCATTCCAGTAGCCTGGGGTAGCTTTTAGGTCTCCCATAAGGGTGCAGGAGCCCACGAACTTGGGCCATTGTCTGCTGCTTTCCCAGGCCATAAGCAGGGAGCTGTATTAGAAGTGGAACAGCCAGGATTCAAACAAGTGCCCATATGGAATGCTGGTACTGCAAATGGTGGCTTAACTTGCCATGCTGCAATACTTGCTCCTTTAATTATTTGTGCTTGTTTGTTTTCCTTTCAGCATTTATGAAAGAAAATGTAAAAATCAGAAAAAAATGTACATAAAAAAACATGTTGTCCAGGGGCCAAAGAGCAAAGGTGAAGCAAAGATAGAGCGTTTCAGTTTCCTGTCCTTCAACTACCACACAGCAATAACAAAACACAGACTACAGTGTTGCCATGAAGCTCACTCGCACTTGTCTACCTGAAGCATGTGTCCAGGTACCCAGACACGGATGACCCAGTGCATTAGCTGCCTGATGCAAGACAAAGAAGGAAAGGAACCAAACACTTGGTATAGTTAAATAATAATAGTTATAGTGACAGTTAAATGATAATCTCTGACAGCTGGAGGCTAGAATGCCCCAAGCTCACTGGCACACTTGGCATCTGGAGAAAGGTCACTCTGCTCACAACTGAGCATCAACTGCTGTGAAAAAACTTGGGCAAGTGGAGACTTTAAGCTGGACAGTATAAGCCAGTGGATTCTGGAGAGATTTCTTCGTGCTTGGAATGGTGAGATTGGCAACAATTCAGAACTGTTAAACGATCAAAACCACTTGAGCAGTGCCCTTGGAGCATGCCCCACATTGGGGATCCTGGGATGGGTGGGAGGCTGGGTGTGGCTTCTCTCTTTGTCCCTCCCTTTCCTCCAGATACAGGAAGGAAAAAAGAGAATGTGGAAGTCATGGTCTTACCCACTTTCCTGTAGCCCTTGACCCTTTGCACCTTAATCAAATAAGTAAAGATCATTAATTTAAAAAGATTAACATTCACATAAGTATCTCCTCTAATGGACATCAGTACTCTTCCTTGATCACCTTGGACTCTTCCATATTACTCTGGTTAACTAATTCTCATCCTTGAGATTCTTTTGTTTCTAACACAAAAGGTCTTTAAAAGTTCCTTAAAAATACATGTTATGAGAAAATTCTGCATAACTTTTAAAACTTTGGCACCCAAATAAAATTATTCAACTCTTTGTCTCTTTGCCACTAGGAAAAAAAAAATTCAAAAAGCTGTGGTATTGATGTCCTGAGGATTTTTTTTAACTTAAAAAAAATTTTGTTAAACATTATTTGAGTGCCTAGCACGATAGTCTAGCAGCTAACGTCCTCACCTTGTACGTGCCAGGATCCCATATAGATGCCAGTTCTAATCCTGGTGGCCCCGCTTCCCATCCAGCTCCCTGCTTGTGGCCTGGGAAAGTAGTCGAGGACAGCCCAAAGCCTTGGAACCCTACACCCATGTGGGAGACCCAGAAGAAGCTCCAGGCACCTGGCTTCCAATTGGCTCAGCTCCAGCCATTGCGGCTGACTGGGGAGTGAATCAGCAGATGGAAGATCTTCCTCTCTGTTTCTGCTTCTCTCTGACTTTCCAATAAAAATTTAAAAATCTTTAAAAATTTATTTGAAAGGCAGGAAGACAGAGGCAAGCAGAGATGTCTCCTACTCCCACTCACTCCCTAAATCTGTACAGCTGTAGCTGGATCAGGCTGAATCCAGGGTCAGAAGCTACAAGGGAGACAGAAACACAACTTAAGTCATCTCCTGCTGCCTCTCAGGGTGGCCATTAGCAGAAAGCTGGAATCACAAAAAAAGTCAAGCATGGGACCCAGGGACTCCAATATGGGATGCAAACACACTGCCAGTGGTGTTTTAGCTGCTGCACCAAAGCCAGTTCCTGCTACGAGTTCTTCACAAGTTGAATATGGCTGACAAGAGATCTTCTGGGTCAGCAGAGTCATACAAAGCGGGTGGAGAGACCTTGGCTATCCAAGGCCCTGTGAGGATAGAAGCCTCTTGGTCATCAGGAAGCTATAGGACGTTCACAGTAGGCGGTCTAGCATTGACTATTCACCCAAAAGAGGCTTCACCAGCTTGAATTTATAGTGGCTGGAGGATATAGATATAGACAGAGTGGGTTCTAACACACATCCAGGAAATTATCCAGAGACTGAAGACAAAGAAGGCTTGAATTCTGAGTAGTAGAAAGGAAAGATCGCATTGTCTTGGGAAATGGCCTTGGGGAGAAATCAGTAACTTCCCGATGTCGGAAAAGATGAAGGATTAAAAAGGGCAGCACTGTGACACAGCATGCTAAAGTATTAT